GATAGCCTGAAACCAGGAAAGAAAACTTTGCAGTGCAATGAGAAGTACCTTTTGACCCCTGGGACCTTAAGGACTGAATACCGGAGGTCAAGCAGGAAATGCTATGCGGAGATTGTCCTCCAGCTGCTGGGACAGCAAGCCAGGCTGTTAGGGGTAAAGCTTGAACAAACATAAGCAGTGCCAAGCTGAGTTCATCTCAGAAAAGAAGGGTTATGTCTTTGTTTAGAGGCAAAGCAAAAGCACTTGGGGCCTAGATGCTCACAAATATCATTGACCAAAGTATATTTTAGCTCTATGTCAGTTGAAGTTAGGATCAGAAACAACCACTGCTACTCTGTAAACTTTTTTTTTCTTTCTTGCTCTTTGGGGAGAATTTCACGTTTACCCTTAGTTGTCTGATAAAAACTCTGTTTGAACATTTACAATCTTGTCTCACATCAACTCGTCAGGATCCAAAATATATCGACAGATGGGAATTATGAATCCACTCTCCCAAGATGAATGATGATTGTATGAAAGTTGCAGGCTTTGCTCAGGTGGCTTGAAAATAACTGATAAAAAAAAGACTGTGAATCTTTAGCACAGAATAAGGAAAAATAAAAAGCAACTCAAGTATGTTATTATTTAATACATGGAAAATTAAAAGTGTCTACAAAAATACCTGAGATAAGATTTCAGGCTTAATTCCTAGAGGTTAGTGTTGACCAAGTTCCATTCTGTGCAGGTTGGAATGCATCTGGGAGTATTGGAATTAATCACTTGGAGAAAAGCCCAGGCATACTTGAACACATTCCAGAGAGGATGACCATGGTGTGTTGAAGTAGCTGAATATGAATGATGATATTGAAGCATCTGAGAATTTTGATCTTGGAGAAGAAAGATTGGGGAAAATATAGAGAAGCCTGTAGGAGATGTGATTTTGTATCTGAAGATCAACCATATAGGAAAAAAAGTTAGATGGTGCCATGATTTGGATATTTGACTCCTCCAATCCTCATGTTAAAATTTCATCCCCAGTGTTGGAGGTGGGGCCTCATGGGAGGTATTTAGATCATGGGAACAGATCCTTCATGAATAGATTAATGCCCTAGCTGAGGGAAGAGATAAGTGAGTTCTCACTCTGTTCGTTTCCACAAGAGCTGGTTGTTAAAAAAGACTGGCACCTCTTGCCTCTGGCTCTCTTGCTTCCTCTCTTGCCATGTGATGTCTGCACACACCAGCTCCCTTTTACCTTCTACCATGAGGATAAGCAGTCTGTGGCCCTTGTCAGATGCAGATGCCAAAACTTGAACTTTTCCAGACATCAGAATTGTGAGCCAAATAAACATTTTTCTTTATATATTACCCAGCCTCAGATACTTCTTCATAGCAACACAAAATGGACTAAGACAGATGGCCTGATGAGGTGGAAAAGATCTTCCCCACTAGGCTTTGAGATAACAGAGCAGCTTCTTAGAAGGAAGAGGGATGTGTCAGTGGTCCCCAAGACCATGCCCACATTCAATGATTTGGTAAGACTCACAGGACTCAGAAGTTGTTATACTACTCATACTTACAGTTTGTGATAGTGAAAGGACACAAACAAAATCAGCACAGGGGAAAAGATGGATGGGCAAAGTGCAAGGGAAAGTAGACACAGGCTTCCAATGTGCAAGGGAAACTAGGCACACTTCCAAGTGTGTCCTCCCAGTGGGTGCACTTAATACCTCTGGCAAGGAGTTGTAATAATATATCCAAAGTATTGTCAATTGGGAAAGTTCACTCAAACCTTGGAGTACAGAGTTTTTATTGGAGGTCAGACACAAAGGCACATAGTCAAACATGATTTTTGAATCTCTAGACTCTTAGAAGGAAACAAAAAGTGTTTACCACAAGGCACACCGCTTGCATGCACTATTTACACAATCTTGTATGCATAGTTCAAGACACTCCCCCCACCCAAAGCATGAAAAGCCCTATAATCAATGGGAACATTCTAAGCACTTAAATCACAGGAAACTAACCAAGGCCCATCACTAAAGTGGGACTTTCTTGGGAATGTGCAGGGTTTGAGCAACCCAGGCCTGCTGTGTTAAGTCTTTCCTGTACAGGGGACAAGGCTGGTGAGTCCATGGTGGAGGTTTTGTGAAAACTGGCTCCTCTTGCCTGCAGCCACTATTTTGTTTTGTTTTGTTTTGTTTTGTTTTTGTTTTGTTTGACATGGAGTCTTGCTCCGTCTCCCAGGCTGGAGTTCAGTGGCAAAATCTCAACTCACTGCAACCTCCGCCTCCCGGGTTCAAGCGATTCTCCTACCTCAGCCTCCCAAGTAGCTGGGATTACAGGTGTGCACCACCACAGCCAACTAATGTTGTATTTTTAGTAGAGATGGGGTTTCGCCATGTTGGTGAGGCTGGTCTCCAACTCCTGACCTCAGGCGATCCGCCCACCTTGGCCTCCCAAAGTGCTGGGATGACGGGCTTAAGTCACTGTGCCTGGACTGCCTGCAGCCTTCTTTTGTATGGTTCTTTGTGCAAAAGCCAGGGGAATTGGAGAGAGATTCATTTTGATTTAAAAATCCTTGCTCTGTCCTTGCTCTATGAATTTGAAATAAGATACTTTACTTTGGTGAATCTTTATTTTTAATTAGAGAGAGAGAGAGAGGAGAAGAGAAAGCACGCACGGAGGTCAGATGCCTCCAGCCAAAGGAGGTGAGGCATAGAGATCTGTTACCACTAAGGAAGGTATCTGAATCACGTGGCACCAAATATGTCACTGGTGGAAGGTATCCAAGTTACTGGTGGCAAATCCATATGGATCTGCAGCAACCTCAATTCTTGCCTTCTCAGAAGAAAGAATTCAACAGAGGGGCATACAGCAGGAAAAAGATGGAGGAAACTTTCAGAGCAGGAGTGGAAGTTTATTAAAAAGCTTTAGAACAGTAAGGAAAGAAAAGAAAGGAAGGAAAGTACACTTGGAAGAGGGCCAAGCAGGTGACTTGAGAAACCAAGTGCACTACACTTTGGTGAATCATGAAAGAAATAGTTAACATTGTTTATAAAGTGTGCCTGGTAGATGTTATATGAAAACTTGTTTTCTTTTTTTTTTTTTTTTTTTTGAGACGGAGTCTCGCTGTGTCTCCCAGGCTGGAGTGCAGTGGCGTGATCTCGGCTCACTGCAAGCTCTGCCTCCCGGGTTCATGCCATTCTCCCGCCTCAGCCTCCCAAGTAGCTGAGACTACAGGCGCCCGCCACCACGCCCGGCTAGTTTTTTTGTATTTTTAGTAGAGATGGGGTTTCACCATGTTAGCCAGGATAGTCTCGATCTCCTGACCTCGTGATCCACCCGCCTCGGCCTCCCAAAGTGCTGGGATTACAGGCTTGAGCCACCGCGCCCGGCCGAAAACTTGTTTTCTTTTCCCCTGAGTTGGGGAAGGTGAGATTCCCGGTAAATCATCATATTTATTCCCTCACCCGTTCTAAAACTCCAATATGTACATGAAATATCTGGGGATCTCATTAAAATACAGATCATGATTTGGTAGATTTGGAGATGGGCCCCAAATTTTGTGATTTTAACAAGCTCCTGGGTGATGTTGGTGCCACTGGTTCATGGACCACATGAAGCCCAGGGGGTGGCAGCACTATGTCATGGGGGAAACTAGGGAGCAGGTTTAGTACACACTCATATTTATACCCCCTGACATCTTCTCTTGTTCCATTCCCTTCCCCTCAACCTAGTACAACTTAGAGTGTTGCAGGGCAGTAGTTTTCAAGCATTGCTTTTTGAAACTATCAAGAATAACCTGGCTTTCCAGTTAAAAGTGAAGATTCTGGGTCCCCACTGCACTGTCGTCCAATTCTGAGATGAAGCTTGGGAACATGCTGTTTTTGTTGTGTTTCTAAAGTGGAACCCTCTGTGATCTGATTTAGGTAGTGGAGACCCCAGGATCTCTATGAAGGAGGCTGGGATCATCAATGTGATGGAAGGGAGGGCATGGATGCTGCTTAGAAGCTGTGTTTACATAGCAAGCACCTGGTTTCTGATGGCTCAGTGTATTAGTCTGTTCTCACACTGCTAATAAAGACATACCTGAGACTGGGTAATCTATAGAGAAAAAGAGGCTAAGTGGACTCACAGTTCCACATGACTGGGGAGGCCTCACAGGCCTAGCAGAAGGCAAAGGAGAAGAAAGGGCACATCTTACATGGTGACAGGCAAGAGAGCATGTGCAGGGGAACTCCCATTTATAAACCCATCAGAACTTGTGAGACTCATTCACTACCATGAGAACAGTATGAGGGGAATCACCCCCATGATTCAACTATCTCCACCTGGCCCCACCCTTGACACCTGGGGATTATTATAATTCAAGGTGAGATTTGGATGGGGACACAGCCAAACCATATCACTGAGATTGTGTATTTGTTTGGGTGACTCAGAGGGATGTGATGGAGATTTTTGTGTGGTCTAAATCCTTTTCAAGCCACCCCTCAGTGCAGTCACTGAAGGCAGGCCATCTGGGAACCACACTTCTCCTCACTCCAGGAAGGAACAAGGGACCAAGGGACCCTAGACAAGCTATTTTACTCTTTTAAGCCTAGTTTGTTTTATCAGTTGTAAGAGAGTAATAATGCTTACCTGGAATTGGATTTTATTTCTTTTTTATTTATTTATTTTTTAGAGACGGGGTCTTGCTCTGTCACCCAGGATGGGGTTCAGTAGTGCAATCACAGCTCATTGCAGCATTAAACTCCTGGGCTAAAGTGATCCTCCCACCTCAGCCTCCCAAAGAGCTGGGACTACAGACATGTACCACCACACCTGGCTGTTTTTAATTTTTTTTTTTTTTTGTAGAGATGCGGGTCTTGCTATGTTGCCCAGTCTAGTCTCAAATTCCTGGGCTAACACAGCCCTTCTGCCTCAACCTCCAAACGTGCTGGGATTAAAGATGTGAGCCATACTGCCCAGCAAAAATGGAATGGGTTTTATAATCAAAGAGCTCAGAGGAGACACCCAGGAAATTCTATTTGTTCTTTTTATTGGTTCTCTTATACCTGATTGGAGTAGGGACTTCACATTGAAACTAATGTAAATGTGTTTGACATATTACTCTGTCTGTTCTCTTTCTCTCATTCAAGAATGATGCCAGGAGGATTAATAGGTGGAAGTAATACGAGCTCTGGTTTCATGGTCATGTCATTCGTTCTCCCAGCAGCTTGCATAGTGCAGCCATCAGAAGTGGTGAGGAGAATGCTCTGGAGCTGTGCACACCTAGGATGGAAAAGCTCTGTCTAGATTTCTCATTACAAGGTTACCTCCCCTCCAACATTAAAGGGAGCATTGGCAGGAATCCTGAAATGGAAAGGGACTTGGAAGTTCCAATCTCAGATCTTCCTTTGCTTGTACAGAGAAAGAGACTGAGATCAGGAAAAGTTTGATGATGACGTCTGTCAGTATTAGGAATACAAACCTATCCTCTTTGCTCTCACACAATTATTTTATCCACTGCACCATTCTGCTTCCCTACAAATAGGAGCAAATTAGCTTCCACCAAAAGAGTACACCCTGTGGGGAAATGACTTGAAGGTCAATAATACGTATTTGTATTGACTTAAAGAATAGTCAAGCTGCTAAAAGGGTCGATGTTAGTTTTCTTCCCTTGACATATTTATTAATAATTTAGGATATGGGGAAAATAAGATGCCTTCTGGAATTAATATTAGTTGTAAAGCATCGTATATCAGAGGAAAAGTGAAGTAAAGCCAAGAGACCAAAATGTTAGATTGTGAGATTAAAATAATGCTAGATATACCTTCAAATGGGCAAATGATGCACAGTGTGAGTATAAATAAGTGCCTGTATGCTGTTTTGCTTTTTATTGTAGTTTATGTTTATGGTTGGATTAAAGTGGTTATATTTTAATTGTCTTAAAAAATGATACCAGTTGTCCTCTATCCAAATGAACCTTGTCTATCAAAGTAGCCAACTTGTAAGGCCATGTGCTTATTCCAATGATGTTGGCACTACTTAAAACACTTTTTTAATGCCTAAGGCATTTTCTTTAAATATTCTTATTAATGGCAGATTTTTGTAGACAATCTACTATGTTTGGTATGATGTAAAAAATCTTTAGGAGAAAGTGTGTGTCCCTATAAAGGTTGTGGAAGGTTGGGAAAATCATTTGGAGTAAAACAAAAGGAGTAGATTACTGAAAACATGACGATGTTTTCGAAAGCAATCCATGTATTCTAATGGAACAGTGCGATGATGTGATGCGTGAGAAGAGCTCATCTTCCAGACCTCTCCTGGTCACTCTACTTTAGTTTGAATGTGAAGCAGTTTTAAAGGCAGATGTACTCCGAACTGCGTTCAACAAACATTTAGTCAGCAGTCTTGTTGCAATGATGCCTCCATTCTCTCCATTGGTCAAAGAAGTATGTGGGCAGAAGTTGAGCTATTGCAAAGTTCAGTGATTGCTTCATGTGGAAGGTGGTGGTAGATGTGTCACACTGATGTGAAGACAGGGAGGCCATGGCCGAAGATCTGCCCATTTAATCTGGTGCTCCCCTCTCTTCTTGATGCAAAGAGGAAAAAGAGAGACTTTAGTCTCAAAGTCAAATCAGAGTGATGCGTGGAGATGGTTAAATGTGGTTTGCCTCTGTGATGCCACTGAGCTGCAACCCTGGTTTTCTATTCTTTGCTCAACACCAGAAGCTAAGGCTATGGGAAGGGATGCATCATGGCAGCTGTACATTGAGAATGAGCCCAGAGGATAGCTTTTTAGAAGCATCTGCTCTTCTTTATTTGAGAAACTCAGCCCTTTTGAGTCACTTGGATAAAGTATAGCTTTCTAAGGTAAGAAGAAACTTGAAAGGCAGTTCTGATAGCTAATATGGAATTCTTATTATTGCATAGGTTCATTTCATATCGTTCTAGAAATTTATAGGTGCATTTCACGGTTCAAAATTAGAAATGTCAGGGGAAAACATCAAAAAGAGAAATCCCATTTTACACTGATTGGAGATCACAGGGTATAAGATGAAGGAAGGAAGTAGAAAAACATACCCTCACTCACCTGCCCGTAGTTGCTGCTTCCTGCTGGCTAGGGCGCCTTGGTTTGCATTGTATAAGACCTCTCTGCAAGAGTCTACACTTGTCTTCCTCACTGTATGGTGGCCTCAGAGTTCCTTTACCAGGGGACAAGAGTGAAAGCTTCAAGGTTTCTTAAGATTGAATTCCCAGACTTCGCACAGCATTTCCTCTGCCACATTCTGTTAGTCAAAGTACATAACAAGGCTAGTCCCAGGTCAAGGGTATGGAAATAGACTCTGTGTCTTTATGGTGGACACAGGGAGGTGCCATTCATCAGACATTATTATAAAGGCAATCTGCAACACTTCTTTCTGAATTTCCTCAAAGAGAACATGACTGGCGTCTTGATTTCTGAAATCCATGTCTTAAATCCTCAAGTAGCTCCTTTTGTGACACAGTTTCTATTTATTGAAAAGCTAAATCTGGAAGAAGGAAATAATAAAGGAAGATCTATAAAAACATTTATTCTTGAATATATATGTATGTATATATCACAAAAACTACAGGTTTTGATATTCTGCAGTTAAATTTGTTCATATGATTTTTCATTTAATTTACTTATTTAACATATTTCGATAAATAATACATGCACATGGCAGAAAATTCAAAGGTACAAAAGGGCATAAAGTAACCCTTTTTTCTGTATCATTTCTCTCTACCACTCAGTTTCACCATAAGAAACCATATTGCCGTATTTGCAGAAAATTTGGATTTATATCATTTTATTCTATTTAAATCAAATACTCAAGACTAAATAAGAAGGAGACCCATAGAGATGGGGAAGGGGGTATATTTATTTGATTACAACAAACTATGAAGTCATCAACTGACTGTGCCACTTTCTGCTGCCTCACAGATTAAAAACATAAATAACAGAAGGAGAAAGAAAAAACTGTGGAGATGTGTACAGATAAGAATCTAGGAAGCCCCACCAGTATCCATCCTCCTGACTTGAAAAATGCCCGGCAGGGTGACAGTGGGGAGGATGATTAATTATCACTCTGGCATCCCCAGCCATCAGAAAGAGCCCTTTTTAAAGGACCTATAAAATATTAATAAGGTTCACAAGTTTATTTAGCTAATGTGGGATGCCAATACATTGTATCACCATTAGTTTTTGTCTGCGATGCTACAATGTGACTTATAAGGCAAACGTGACTACTGTTAAGACTTAGGAAATAGGTATGAGCTTGGTGGCAGGCAGGAAAGGTTACTGAGAAGATGATAGTATTTGCAATTCAGTTCAGTAGCATACTTGGTGCAGAAGCCAAGTTGTGGAGAGTTGAGCAGTAATAGTTCAAGGACAAGTAATAGACAACTCCGTTAATAAGTTTATCTGTGAAGGAAAGAATAATAGCTACAGAAAGTCATCCAATCACATAAGTGATATTTTAATAAGAAAGACTTGAACATCAGCCTTACATATTGCTATAGGCCAACTTACTGTTGGGGTAGAGCAAGCTTTCTGGAGAGTCACATACATATGCCACCCCATCTTTAGCAGACACCTCATGCTCCCAAGATCTGAATCAGAGATGACAGGGGAGGAACTAAGAACTTTGGCTTGCATTTACTGAATGTTTGCTACATGCTAGACCTTGTCTTGTCTAATTTACACAAATTATGCCATTGCAACTTCACAGCAATTCAGCTGTGTACCATTGTTGTACCTGCCCTACTGGCGAAGAAACTAAGGTCTACAGAGGTTAAAAAATTTCCTGAAAGCCACTCAACTAAACCATGACAAGGCTAATATCAGACCCTGAGTAGCCTGATGACAGAAGTCACCATGCTATACACCACCCCTGACTGAGCCCCACACAAAAGAACGTCAAAACGTGCAGGGATATTTAACCGTATCAACCAATCTTGTTGTAGCCATAAAGTCGATGGATGTAGAGGTTGGGCCCAAGTGTTCTCCTTTGTCTCTCTGGTTCCCTCTCACTTACATATTTCATTGTGAATACAATTAACCTTCTTATCATCAGACAAAGCTCTTAAAGATTCCAGAGATTACTCAATAGTGCAACTTACTCTGAACACAACACAGATTTGTCCAGTCCATGGTGACTGAAAAGACTAAATAAGATAAATTTGTTCTCTTCAATGTGAGAGGCATGTCTGTAGCAGTGAGAAGTCAGGTAGGTGTGATAATTAAATTTTACAAGTCAATTTGTCTAGGCTATCATAGCCAAACACCAATCTAGATATTGCTGCGAAAGTATGTTGTAGATGGGATTAACATTCCCTATCACTTGACATCAGGGAGTTGACCCTCACGACATGATGGTCTACACCCAATCCCTTGAAGACCTTAAGAGCTGAAACAGATTTCCCAGAGTAAAGAAACTCAGCCTCAAGAAATTCAAGACAGTAACATAGAAATCCTGAGTTTCCAGCATACTGCCTCTTCTAATTATTTTAGACTTGCCAGTCCTCACCGTCATGTGAACCAATTCCTTACAAGTAAATGTCGTCAGTGGATACATATAGAAAGACAGGAACGTACATCTGCATGTGTATTTGTCTATCTATCTATCTATCTATCTATCTATCTATCTATCTATCTATCATCTACCTATCTGTCAATCATTTCTCATCTATCTCTTGCTATTTATCATCTATCTATCCATGTTTATCTATCTATCTATCTATCTATCTATCTATCTATCTATCTATCATCTACCTATCATTTACCTGTCAATCATTTGTCATCTATCACTTGCTATTTATCATCTACCTATCCATGTCTATCTACTGATCTATCTATAATCTACCTATCATCTGCCTATCTGTCAATCATTTGTCATCTCTCTTTAGCTATTTGTCATCTACTTAGCTCTATCTATCTATCTATCTATCTATCTATCTATCTATCTGTCATCTATCTTTCAATCATCTATATATCTATCTGTCTATGTCATTATCTATCTATCCTATTGGTTTTGTTTCTCTGGAAAACTCTGACCAATGCAGTCAGTGTGAAGGGACAGATCAGTATGACTGATAGCTCACAGGTAAAACTTATATTTATGAAACCAGCTTTCTTTCACACTGACTGTTACTTGATTACTCACACCTAGGGTTTCTATCTGGATTTGTTCACAGTGTTTCCTTTATCTTCAGTCACTCTTCTCTTTTTTCAGTGTTTTTCATCTTCATCAACATCGATTTCTTTTTGTCTCCTGGTGGGTTTTCTTTCTTCCTGATATTGTTTGGCTGTGTCCCCACCCAATTCTCATCTTGAATTGTAACTCCCATAATTCCCACATGTTGTTGGAGGGACCCAGTGGGAGGTAATTGAATCGTCAGGGCAGGTGTTTCCCATGCTGTTCTGGTGCTAGTGAATAAGTCTCACGAGATCCGATGGTTTTATGTAGGAGAGTTCCCCTGAACATGCTCTCTTGCCTGCCGCCATGTAAGATGTGACTTTGCTCCTCATTCACCTTCTGCCATGATTGTGAGGCCTCCCCAGCCATGTGGAACTGTGGAACTTTATAAATTATGTAGTCTTTGGTATGTCTTTATTAGCAGCATGAGGACAGACTAATACACTTCCCTAAAGTTTCATTGGCACTTTGATGTTCTTTTAAGTGTTTTATCAGGCTTATCCAAATTTATAGTTCCTAAAATTTTAACTTTTGATGAAGGAAATACATGGTCAGAAATATAACATTCTTATAAGAATCACTACCTACCAGTCACTTTAATATATCAATGAAGAAGCATTGTTTCCTGTTATTCAGGACGTGAATAACATGTTTTGGCTACAACAAATTCATGTGAAAATCATGTACAATTCAGTGAAATGAATTATTATGCAATTAATATCTGAATGCATTTGTATTTTTTCGGCTTACCACTTGTCTCTCAATCATCTAGCCATGCATGAATACTAACAGGCTTGTCTTATTTATAATAGGAACACCTAATCATTGTGTTATTCTAAATTTTTATTTGTATTTCCAGATTATAAACCCAACTGCTAATTTAGATTGTTGTTTAGAAAAGCAACATAGCTCTTTTATTTTATCAAAGGTCATTCAGTAAATTTAATATGTTTGATGCCAGAAAAAGAAATCTCTTTACACAAACATACCCTCTACAAGTTACAAGTTAAAAGCAATATTTGTTTATTTATAATAGCAAACAATAAACTTTTAATCTCTACTACTGTCTTACATTATTTTATGCAATATGCCATAGCTAAAAAAATCTTCTCTACTTTTTTCCTATCCAGTTAGTGAATACATTTTAAGTATTAAATGGAAGAATTAGATTCTTAGGAGAGACAGAACACATATAAAAAGATGTTAATATTTAATAATAAAATTTGAAAATATATTACAAAATAAAGTAAGAAATTTTATTATCTCCAAGAGTATCCTTTTTATAAATTATTTTTCTTGGTTTCTTGTGCTGTTTAAATTTTCTTGATTTCTTTCAATGGTATTGCTCTGCAAATACCTGAATTATGTCGTATCTACAGATCCCATGAGTATGTAGCCATAGCAACGAACAGCACAGGTAATAGTTCTGATTTTATATGGATTCATGAGCCCTCGAAATTAGACCTTTCCCACTTTAAGAAAAAGGAAAGAAACATCTGAACCTATAAGAATTAGGTATATAGAATATTTTACATGCAATACTCACATATACAAAATGAGTGCTTGGAAGTAAATGTGAGAATAAACAGTATGCAGTGGATGAAACATATATTCTAGTTTGAAAACTCAGAAGTGCACATTGAAAGAGAAAATCTATAAACCCAACTGCTTTACATTAGTGGAAAAAGTAGTCTGAATTATGTTACAATTTGCAGGTACATACACATTTATTACTTTAAGAATTTGCACAATATGTAAAGAGCTTTGCTTTACATGAGTAACATTTTCCTAAGTGATGTCTAAACCATTATGAATTCTCAGTTAGCTAGATCAGCAATAATGACATTTTATTGTAGGAGAGAAATATCCTAATGAATGTATCTTAATCTGGTATTTTCAGAAGTGGCTTTTCATCAGGTATAGAACCTGGATTAACAGATGATTTTGCCTACATTATACTTTGATTCTCAGAAAACTTTCCAGTATGATAGATAAAAATTATAAGGATCTGATGTAAACTTCTGAGGCTGTAACTTACGTCCATTTTCTAAGGCAATACTTAAAACAAAAATTTTTAACAGCAATAAACTATTCTTGTGACCATCTCATTTTCCTCCTCAAAATTCACAACTTGTCTCCATTACTGCATGACTTTTTGTTTTGTTTTGTTTTTTAGAGACAGGGTCTTCCTCTATCACCCAGGCTGGAGTGCAGTGGAGGGATCACAGCTCACTGAAGGCTCAAACTACTGGGCTCAAGTGATCCCCCTCCCTAGTAACTGAAACTCACCCTCCCTAGTAACTGAAACTACT